CTAACTCCCCTCCCCCTCACACCCAATTCTCTGGGATGGTCACTTCACCCCTCCCCCCCACCGCGTGGTTAACAGCGGGGAATATTTCTGTTCAGCAGACCAGGAAGGGGCACCTCTGAATGTCCCCTTAATAAAATTGCCCCATTTTAACCAGGTGACCGTGAATGATATCACTCTCCTGAGGATAACAAAGAGCGATAAGGAATGGATGTTGTCTGCATGCCAGCAAACACCGGGACCATACGCTGCCATGCTTTGTTATGCAATGATTCCAGACTACGTGCTACTGGCCTGGCGTGGTAAAGTGTCCTACCATGGCGGACGGGATAAGGCAGCCCTCCCCAGAAACCTTTTGCAAAGGCTTTGGGAGTACATGAAGGAGAGCTTTCTGGAGATGTCCCTGGAGGATTTCCGCTCCATCCCCATACACGTTAACAGACTTTTCCAGTAGCTGTACTGGCCGCGATTGCCAGGGCAAATTAATCATTAATCATTAAACACGCTTGTTTTTAAACCATGTGTAATATTTACAAAGGTACACTCACCAGAGGTCCCCTGTGTGCCCTCAGGGTCTTGGGTCAGTTCGGGGGTTACTGTTTCCAGGTCCAGGGTGACAAACATATCCTGGCTGTTGGGGTAACTGGTTTCTCCGCTTCCTTGCTGCTGTGAGCTATGTTCTCTCCATCCTCATCTTCCTCGTCCGCCGAACCCGCTTCCCCGTTTGCAGAGAGGGACTCATAGAACACGCTTGGGCTACTGGTGGCTGCACGCCCTAGAATGGCATGCAGCTCCGCGTAGTAGCGGCATGTTTGCGGCTCTGCCCCGGACCTTCCGTTTGCGTCTCTGACTTTGTGGTAGGCTTGCCTTAGCTCCTTAATTTTCACGCGGCACTGCCGCGCGTCCCTGTTATGGCCTCTGTCCTTCATGGCCTTGGAGATCTTTTCTAATGTTTTGCCGTTTCTTTTACTGTTTCGGAGTTCGGCGAGCACTGCTTCATCTCCCCAGATGGCGATCAGATCCTGTACCTCCCGTTCGGTCCAGGCTGGAGCTCTTCTGCGATCCTGGGACTGGGACTGGGACTCCATCATGGTTACCTGTGCTGATGGGCTCTGCATGGTCACCTGTGCTCTCCACGCTGAGCAAACAGGAAATGAAATTCAAACGTTCGCGGGGCTTTTCCTGTCTACCTGGCCAGTGCATCTGAGATGAGAGTGCTGTCCAGAGCGGTCACAATGAAGCACTGTGGGATAGCTCCCGGAGGCCAGTAATGTCGAATTCCGTCCACACTAACCCAATTCCGACCCCCTAAGGCCGATTTTATCGCTAATCCCCTTGTCGAGGTGGTGTTAGGAAACCGGTTTAAAGGGCCCTTTAAGTCGACAGAAAGGGCTTCGTAGTGTAAACGTGTCCAGGCTTAAGTCGATTTAACGCGGCTAAAGTCGACCTAAACTCGTAGTGTAGACCAGGCCCTAGACTAGCATGCGCATGCCTGCCCCAGCTGCAGTCACACCTCCAGGTGCAGCATAGACAGACCTGCAATCTTGTCACAACAATAGGGAAGAGCTTCGATCCATGGCTTACAGGAGGGGCTCTGAGGCACAGAGGGACTAAGTGACTCGCCCAAGGTCACACAGGAAGTTGGTGGCAGAGCAGGGACTTGAATGCAGGTTTACCACGTCCTAGGCTAGTGCCCTAACCCCTGGACCAGCCTTTCCTCCTGGGGATGGGCTATGAATATTGTATGGTCCTGACATTTACCAACAGTCTCCCCTGTTCCATTGTAGACCCCCCTTCTTCCACTGTCTACATGTAATGGGAAAGGGCCAGCATCAGTGGTGCTAAAAGCCCCTCTAACCCATGAGGGCCAAACAGCCTGTGCACTGAATTTCTCGGCTCAGTCCCTCTGGAGTTCTCTTAGCTCAGTTTCCCTTCACGTTCAGTTCTCTCGCTCTGTCAGTTCACAGCACAGTGGACACCAAACTCCACTTGGGGAATAAAAAAGTTAATTTCCTTGTTCCTTGAGAGGCTGGCAGACAACTCCTCACAAAGATCTTGTTACACAACATACGCCAGCAGCTCTGGTACTCTTACAGCATAGCGTCCTGCAGCACTGTGCTGCTGAGGCTGACATGTAGTCTGGCACTTTACGGCCTGGAGGGCAGGGCACTGACTGGGACAGAGTCTGCTCTGATGCAGGCAGAGCAGGGATTTGAGGCTCCCACATATCAGGCAAGCGCACACACATGCAGCAAGTTCCATTGTAATCATAGGCATTCCAAGGGCGAGCAATGGGCTCTGAGGGCAGAATATGGCACTTGGTTAACAATTCCATGCGCATGCATGAGGCAGAAACTCATCCCACCCATTCTCTAGAGGTGTGTTGGCTTTGGAGTGCTAAGCCCATCATACCAACACAGGGCTTCTACACACTGCAGGTTTTAGCCACTGCTATGCTTACCCCACTGCAGCTGCTCTCATGAACTGCATCGCTGTAACTGTGACTTACGCTGCACCAAACCAGAGTTAGCTGCTTCAGTGCAAGTGAACCCCAGTCCTGCCATCAGGTCTGTGCAGGAGAACCCTTACCCCACCTGGAGCCATGTACAGGCATAGGGGCTCATCTATATGGATCCAAATGCAGGACGGGGACCTAACTGGCCACTGAAGTGAGCACCCATAATTCTGGACACGCACAAGGGAAAGATCTGTGTAATTTCTGCATAGCCATTTCTCAGAGCAGAACCACATTTCAAGCATCAGTGCTGACCAGCTGGTGTCTTTATTCTCCCTTCTGTTTTATTTTCAGACTATTTCTGTTACAGATATATGTCTATTTTTAAATCCAGATGTTAAGCTTTGGCTCTTGGAACTAACGGGGGGGAGGGGGGAGAAGAGATTCCTCCAGAGCTGCAGAAGAGTTCTATCAAAACCACACTAAAATGGAAACGCAAATTGGCAACAATGGTTTGCCCACGAGGTCATCTCCCTTAGCAATGTACATGGGGGAAGTAGAAGTAGGGCCGCGTGCTGTATTCCAGTACTGTAGATGGGGCATACATGATGCACAAGTGTTTATCTACTATGCAAACTATCTGTGCTCTATACTGCCTGCCCTAGTCATTCATGTGCTACTGTGTATGGAGTGTGATGACATCTTGAATGGAGCCTATGCATAGTTTTAATATCTTTCTATAACTCCAAATGTGTTAACAGAATTGTTCTAAAACATAATTCCTGCTAACATCATTTAGACCAAGTATAACATATTGTTAGTTATATCACAGTAGCACCTAGATGCCCCCAAATACCAGGGCCCCACTGTGCTAGACATGGTACAGACACATAGTAAGAGACAGTCTCTACCCTAAAGAGTTTACAGTGAGATTGACAAGACAAAAGATGGGAGGGGAAACTGAGGCACGGAGCGGTGAAGTGATTTGCCTCAGGTTACACAGCAGGCCAGTGGTAAAGCCAGAAATAGAGACAGGGCTTTGGAGCTCTGCTCCGGCTCTGCTCCAACTCCAGGCAAAAACCTGCAGCTCCACTGCTCCGGAGCTACTCTGCACTCCAGCTCCGGGCTCCGCTCCAAAGCCCTGAATAGAGACTAGGTCTGCTGAGCCCCCAGCCAATGTCTTACCCACTAGACCACACTGCCTTTCATATACATGGGAAACGTAGTTTGTAAAACTGCGTCCGCTAGCCCGACAAGCTGCGTCTCACCAGGAGCTGTTTTTAAATTGCATTTTAAAACATTTTCACCAGCCCTATTAACATACCCGCACAGACAGTGCCAAAGAAAATAAATGCAAACAACAGGCACGAGAGACATGTATGGGGCCCATTTTCAATCTGCCACAAAGATTTAGCTGTACTCCACCCAGCAATGTTGTTGCGAGGCAGGTCACTCCATTGCACGCATTGTCGTTTTAATTACTGTGTTGTTAAATGAATTCAGCGATGGACTGACAGCCCTGAAGACTGAGGGGCTAGATTTAATCACAGACCAGGCCCTACAGCAGTGACCATGGCAATGCAACCGTTCCCCTCACCCTCGACCACTTCTAGGGGTCAGACAGGAAGTCAGTCTCCAGACCCCATTCATTCCCTGGGATCTTTGCCGAGATTGCCAACTGTGATGGTTGTTTCTGTGGTGTAGACACCTGTGTCCACTAAGAATGGGGCAGAGCCCACCAGCTCATTTCACATAGGTCACCAAACACCTTTCAGATGGTAATGGCTGTATTCACTATTAACCTGGATCCAATTAAAACCAATTACATCCTTTATCTGGGGTCTTCCTCAATGCCATGATGAGCTCTGCCACACTGGCATGACAGAGCAAGCTAAAGGGGGTATTGGTAGCCTTACATTCTGAAAATACAACAATCTCCGCTCTCCCCACCCCCTCACACACACAGGGCTGGGTGATCAGCTGAGTTTGAAATCAACTCATGATGTTTAGCACTGCAGGTCACACCTCTGTTACTTGAGCTAAGGGATTATCTTCATTAGCTGATGGTAATACACGGTTATCCTGGAGTGTACCAGCCACTAGAAGGAGATTAATACGTTCTTTGCCATTGTATTACAAATGCACTTGGTTTTTGGGTATTTAAATATTTAAGTATTTAACATTACTGAAATATTCAGAGCCAGCATCTGTGCTGGTGTTAATGGGCACAGCTGGACTTCAATGGCATGTCACTCAATTACACCAGCAGAGAATTTAGCCCTGACTTTGCATTTAATATCCTCATCTTTATCCTAAAGGCAAAGGGACAGTTTCCAACGGGCCTCAGTCCACCCACCACTTTTGCACAGTGAATTTTGCTTGCACAATTATGTTCAGGAGAAAATTCAGGGATTTGCACAAACTGCATGTGAAAATTGAGACCAGTTTTTCAAATCTGGCTCAAAACGCTAGCTAACTTTTGGCTTTACTGAGTGGAATTTACATAGTGATCCCCTCCCGCACCTTTTTTGTTTGTTTCCTTCATTAGAAAGAGCCCGGGATTATCTGCACAAGACTGGAAGGTTCATTGTAATTGGTGGAATCGTCTCACCTGTACATGACTCCTATGGGAAGCAGGTTAGTTCATCAAGTTCTTGCTCTCTCCTGTGTGATATTGCCAAAGTAATCTGCAGGAAGCTGGGAGTGTGCATGAATGACAGGAAGAGTTAGGTCTGAGGGTTTCTAGTTCAACGAACACCCTGGGGAACCAGGTAATGCTGGTTCCAAAACTGAGGATGGAGGAGAGTGAAATCTTACAGCTCAGCTGATGCCAGAGTGAAAGCTGTGGGGAAGCTGAGCAGAAGGCTGGGATAAGATTGTGTGGGTCAGATAGTACCCATTAATTATCAGGGGGTAGCCGTGTTAGTCTGTATCTACAAAAACAACAAGGAGTCTGGTGGCACCTTAAAGACTAACAGATTTATTTTGGCATAAGCTTTCGTGGGTAAAAACCTCACTTCTTCAGCTGCAGGTTAATCAGAACCATTAATGGTTCTGTATGTAGGGCAGCAGTGTTACCAGCTCTTGTGATTTTACCTTAAGTCTAGTTTTTTTCTTAAAGCTGCAGCTCCCGGAGTCCTGTGATTACCCAAAAATCTCAGCTTTCATTTAACTTTCACCCCCAAGTTTCTAGCCCTTGTGATTACAGAGGAAAGCTGGAAAATGTGATCCTTAAAGGTACAAACACCAGAAAGCAAATGTTTTTTTTTTAAATCTCATGTTTTTAAAACCAATCTCATAAGTTTGGGGGCCTGGCTCATGATTTCTGTACGCTTGGGCTTGGCAATACTGGGACAGGAGCTGTTAAAAGCATCTTTTGGAGAACGAAATCCAAAGATGGGGAAATTTCTATATTTGAGCTGCAGAAGTTTCCTCCTAACCAAAAAGACTTGAGAAAATGCTGTCCCTAACATTAGCCTCCAGGCCAGGCAGGACTCAGAGAAAAGTGAAGCTCTTCTGATGTCACATAGGCTGCTTGGTTCTGCCCTCTGAATCCGGGCAAGACAGATACCTCTTCCCTATGCTGATGAATAACCTTGGTGATGGCCCATCTGCGGGGGTGCTGTTGGGTTCACACTCAGTTTAGTGGATCTGTGTCCCTGTGGTGCATTCAGGAGAGCTTGGACTAGGTTTTGGTGGGGAAATCACAGAATTGAGTCAGGTCCAAGCTTGAGGGAGGACTGGACATTGGACAAAGCTTCACTGATTCTCCCTGCATCCTCTCTTAGTTACTATTTTGTTTCAGGGCCTGGTCTCCAGCCGACACCGTCTGACCATGTGCCAACTGGCCGTCCAGTCCTCTGACTGGATCAGGTGAGGTAACACCTTGGGTATTGCCGGTTGGGTTATACAGGGAGCCTTTGAAAGACATGACGCTCCTTTTATGGGGCAACGCCGGCCTGTAGGAATCCGGTTCGAGTCACATCCACCAGCTCAGGGGAAGGTCAGTTCAGACTGAGCTTGGAGAGGATTTTCAAGGGGCTCATCTCAGAGCCAGCAAGTGGTAGCTAGTGATGTGCATCAAACATCTCCACCAAGGGAGGAGGTGAAAGCAAAGCTCCAGTCAGTCCTTCCGGCTGCGGCTGATGACAGACACCCTTATCGGCTAAGCACGCAGTGTGTAATTAAAGCAAGCTTCCACTAATTACCTTAATTATGCACCAGAAAAGTTTGTGCCATTATAATTTGCATGGAAAGAGCATGTTTTAATAATGGCTCATTGTTACTGTGAGTGCACATGCCTGTATAAGAAACTCAGCAGTCTTTGTAGGTCAGAGGAAGTGCACGTTCCTCACACAAGGAGAGAGAGAGAAAGTGGGAGGAGGCTGTTGAAAAGAAAGGGAATGAGCAAACAGGCTGTGGAGGAGAGTAGGGAAGGGGAAGAACAAGGAGAGAGGGACAAGTACCAGGAGGAATTGCAAGGGAGGAAGATCAAGAAGGTTGAGAAAAGGAGTAACAAATAGGGCACACCCGGACTTGATCCAAATCCCATTGACTTCAGTGGGATTCTTTCCATTGGATGAGACCCAGATAGAGTTGACTAATATTGATGGCCACATGGAGAGACACCAAGTTGCATCAAATGATATGGAAGCTATCAAAAGGATTGGGTGGATGGTCATGACTGCGTGAGTGAGTGTCTGCCTGGCTTTGGTGAACATGTGTGTCTGACACAGCTGGGAGCATCTGGCCATACGTGCAGAAGCGTGTCTGTATGAACAGGCTCTGAGTGCTATTGTTTATTATTACCACTAGTGTCAACCCCAGATACACAGACCCTAATGAAGAGCAGAGATGGTTTCTAACTTAGCTGAGGCATGTGTAGCACAGAGGTTACACAGACATTAGGCACTCAGCATGTTTTTAATTAGTGAGATCATGTCTGAGAGTCCTCAGGTGGGGTGTGAGAGAAAAAATACATTCAGCTGCTAAGAATATGTTTAAGAAACATCCCAATTTAGCAGCTCATTAAGTTTTCAATTAAGCCAGGCTGTAGCATTGGAGGTTTGTCTTTCACAACCTGGTGTATAGAGGAGGGGTGGAAATTCCTGCACCCACATTCTGTGTGAGACAGGCATGAAATCTCATTGCCAGGAAAGGCTCTGGGAACAGCCAGGGTGCGATTAGCAATTCATGAAAGACTGGGGGCTCTCAGAAGATCTGAGAAAAGAAAAAGAAGAGTTTTCCTGCTCTGGGAAAAAGGCCCAGTGAAGGAGCAGTGGGGGAAGCTTTTCCTAGAAAAAAGACTGCCTTTCATATTGTCTTTGTGCAAAAAGACAAAGGCAGCAGACTAATGAATTCCCCCCACGGCCTCAAGAAATAACTGCTGGATAAATTCCGTGTCTCCCAAGTGATTTTACAAACATCAGGCTATGGGGAAGGATGGTTCAGTGGTTAGAGCACTAGCTGTGAGGATGAGAGATACTATGGTTCAATTCCCTGTTCTGCCATAGACTTTCTGTGTGACCTTGGGCAAGTCCCTTAGCCTCCCATCTGTACAATGGGGATAAGAGCACTGTCCTGTCTCACAAGTGGGAGGCCAGCCGAGGGGGGGGGGGGAAGCAACAGGTAGGGATAATTTTTATGAATAATGTCACAGCTGCTGGACACTGCATCCCAAGGCACAGCTACATCCCCTCTCACCCAGACCCCTGCCTGGGGCTTCTCTTCACTGTCTCAGCTGCGCCAGCGCAAATCACTTGTTACCCCAGCCAGCACGTCTAATGCGAGGGGCTCACACTGGTGTGGTGACAGCCCCAGCGCCAACAAGGCTTTCGCCACGTTCCCTATTTCCACTCTTCCTCGTACTGCTCTGACCTTTCAGTAACGCAACAGAGAACAGCAGGCTACTTCACCAGAGGTCGGTGCAGTAAGCGATGTTACCTCACCTGCCTTGTCTTGCTAAAAGCCAGCAATGGCGGTCAGTGGGGCGGCCCTTCCCTTTCTCTGTGATGGCCGCGTCACGTAGCTGTTGCTCAGGCACGGGAGAGTGGGTCAGGCTGGTATGCTGCCGGTGCATCATGTTTGGGGGCGCTCAGCTATCGGGACTGCACCTGCATGCAGTTTAATTTCCTGAAATGAAAGTTTAAACCCTTAAAAATGTCCCCCTTTGGCTTTAGCTGTGGCACTTCAGGGTGGGAAGGGTTAAAGATGCTTCCTCCCATATGGATAGAACCACAATAGGTCAAGGCCCAAGAGAGGGGGCAGGTAAGAGCCTCTCTACAGGATTTCACACCCCTCTGTGATGTTAAGTTGCCAACAGGCTGGGCTAGTGCCCAGTATCCCCATGGAGATGCGCTCCAGGCTAGTGCCCTGCCTGCAGTGCTGGAGTAGTTCAGTGACACCATGTCCCAACAGCCACTGAGCTCCATGCAACTTCCGTCAGCAACTCCCAGACGCTGTTTGGGTGAGGCAGCAGAAAGAGGAAGCACTTCATTGAGAGCAGCAGTGGCGTGGGCAGCCATGTGCACGTTATGCATGGTGCACACCATTGGCAGGGGCAGTTTGCCCCAGGCCCTCCTGCATTTGAGAGGTTGCTGAGACACAACGTGCCAGGTTGCAACGCCACTCGCGGGAATTTGTCACAATGGATGCTGAGAGCCCTGCCTTGAGAGTGGTTCAGCCGTGCATACCATGGGAAAAATTTCTGTGAGCAGAAACCCTGGACAGCCATCGTGTTCATTCTTCCTCGGGAGCCCAGTGTGCTTCTCGGTCCCATTGTCATGTTGGCGACCAAAGCTGCTGTCTCAATACATTTCCATGCAGTGTCTGGCACCTGGGCAGAGGCCAGAGGAGAAGAGCTTTTAGACAGGCATGCCCAGGGCTGGGGAGGGACAGGGAAATGGAGCAGGGATGGAGGAGTTTCACCAAAGGCAGGTAGGGAGAATACAATGAGAATGTGATGGCTGGAAAAGCTGCATTTGGCATTTTATTCCAGCCTCTATTCGCAGGCAGACATGAGGAGGTTAACATGGATGGTTCCCAGCAGCACGGTTGTCTCTTTCTGGCCTCTCCACTGCAACTGAGCATGCTGGATGGTGAAGGACAGGGCAAGATTCACATGCAAACCCTCTGTGTTATGTTCTCTCCTCCCCCAGGGTGGACCCCTGGGAGTGCTATCAGGACACCTGGCAGACTACCTGCAGCGTACTGGAACACCACCGCGATCTGATGAAGGTGAGTCACACCTGGGCAGGAGTGTCACAGAGGGGGGAGGGGAAAGCTGTGGCTAGCGGGAGAAGTGGTGTAGGAAAGTGGTTAGACCAATGCATTTTTAATGCACAACCCGAGTATTCCTCTAATAGCTTTGATCTGTAGCACTTTCAGGGCTGAGTTCAGGCTCAGCGGTAGCCAATGCAGGGCAGGTTTCTTTCTCTTTCAGGTTGATTCAATTACACCAACTTGATATATATGTTCAATGGACTGATCCTTAGCTGTGGAAAAACACCATAGCTCCCCTGAAACCTGTGGAGCAGTGACGATTTACCCAAGCTGAGGTTCTGGCCCAACACAGGTAGAGGAGACAGAATATTACACAGGCACGTGTCCACCTCTCCCGGCTGGGGAAAAAAAAGGAGTCAGCCCTCTAAGTTTGGGTGCGCACATCATCATCAGACAGCAAAGTGCCAATCACACATTGCAGCAAACAATCCAGCCCAGATCAATACACCCACACGGAGAGGCTAAAAATACCATCAGTAACAAGGAGCAAGGGGGACTTGCCAATTAAAACAAAACCCTGCTCCTCGCAAAAGAATTCCTCAAACAAGGGATTCCAAACAGCCGCCATTCCTGGAAACTGAATGGTTCTCCAGACCAGCAAATAGGAAAGGCTCCCAAGAATGCACCAAGGCCTAAACTCCAACAACCTCCAATCAGAGATAGTCACAGCACCTGCTATGTAGATCACGCAAGGGTATTGGGACTTGTCGGTACATGGTGTGACAAACTCATTGTCCCGGAGCACCCCCTTTTGGCGAGTCCTGGCATTGCCCCCCTTTTGCCTCCTCTCGACCTCAGGGATCACATGGTCTGGTGTGTGACTCCACCTGCTGACCAGATCACAATAGTCCACCCATTACTGAGTATCAAAGTCCTGCACCAACAGCGTCACCGTTACGACATCCCCCCCCCTCCCCGGGGGCGGGGGGTCCCAGACTTCTCCCAGCAGAACTCAAAACCCCCCAAATAGAACCAAGCACCACTTCAGCCACTCCACTCATCCTGGTGTTGAGCTTCTCTAGGTTCTTCCCAACTTTCTGGGACAGCAAACCACCGAGCAGCCTCCACTGGACCTTTTCCTTTCATTAGGGCTCATCATAGGAATCCACTCCATGCCTGCAGCTTTCCCATGTCCCTTCTGTCCCTGGCCATTTGCCACAGCTCCTGTCTCAGGAGAGACTCCCAGGCCTTCTCTCCCTCTGAGCCCCCTCCCCACTGGATCTCTTCCTCACTGCTCTGAGTGCCTCGCTTTATGAAGGTGACTCTCCTCCCCAGCTGAGTCTGCCTATGAACTGTACCTAACGCACCCTTCCAGGTGCCACCAAGTGGGCTAAATGAGCCCTCGGCCTCGCATTAACCCTTTCGCTGCCACTGTGGGGTGTACACACCCCATCACAGTGGAGTTATTCAGGAGTAGCTGTCACACTGTAAATTCCCACCCTTCCTTAATCTGAATTAAGTTTCACTGTGTAGATGGGCCCTCACAGTAAGGGAGCTAGGCAAAAGGAGATTAGATGAAAGTGGAATGAAAAGAACATTGTGCTGCACATGACCGAATTTAATCCACCTTTGGAAAAGGGCTAAGGACAAACTCCCAGCACTGTGTCTACTCCAGGGAAATGCCATGCTTCTATACACGGGGGGAAAGAAAAAAATACTTGTCAGGACGCACACAAGAACGAGGCTGCAGTGAGAGCAATTGGGGAAGGCAAACTCACAGCTAAGCAATCATCATCCCTGCCACACAGTCAATCCAGGGGAAAAGAGGGCATTTGAAAGACAAGTGAATGAAGCCCTAACAAAATAACCCCATGGGACAAACCTGGCTCCATTGGCCCTAAGGAATGACTCACAGCAACAGGAAAATTCAAGGGCATCTTCCGTGCTGGGTAAACCCCAGAGAATACATGACACAGTAAGTGAAACCCCTCCACAGGCGCAGGCAGAAGTGAGAATGAAGATCACAAACCCTGAACAGAAATGGGACTTCCCACCACCTCTTCAGCTAATGACCTTAGACCATTACCCTACCCTCCAGCAACAGCAATGGGGAGGTTGGCATTAAAGCCACCCTGAGACCTGGATGAAAGGGATGAACCAGTCAGGGCTCAAGTGGGCAAAGAAGGGCAGGAGGAGGAACCAATGAAACAAACCGAGTTGAGAAGAAAAGCAGATGGCTTGGCCATGCCACTTGCCTGGCCCAGTGCCAGGCAGGAAGGATCTGCAGGCATCACAGCAGGGGCAGGTTCGGAGGAGGCAGTTAAAAGAAGAGAAGGTGGAAGCTTCAGGCGTTTGGCCAGGGAGTTTTCACCAGGTGTGTGTGTTTGGGGGTGGAGGGTAGGTGGGAGAAAGCATGGAGGTGTTTTTGAGGGAGACGCCGATGGGCGAGTGACTGAGGCTGGCACCACTGACAGAGCGATGTTGGAGTGTCCACAGCTTGGCAAGCTAGTAGATCTGATGGTTAGGGAGGGGGTAAATGGAGAAGGCTTTAAAGGCAAAGACAAGGCACTCATGGGAGAGGGGGAGCCATTGGAGGAATGCCAGCAGAGAAGTGATGTGGTGAAAGTGGAAGTCAAGATGACCATTCTGGGGGGTATTAACAGGATTGCCCTGTGTAAGACACAGGGGGTAACTGACCTGCTCTACTCAGCCCTGGGGAGACCCCAGCTGGAGTGCTCTGTCCAGTTCTGGGCACCACACTTGAAGAAAGATGTGAACAAATGGAGAGAGCCCAGAGAAGAGCAACAAATGGTAAAAGGTTTAGCAAACCTGACCTATAAAGAAAGCTTAAAAACACTGGGCATGTTCAGTCTTGGAAAAAGACCTGATGATAGTCTTCATCTATGTTAAGGGCTCTTATAAAGGGCGATCATTTTTCTCCATGTCCATGGAAGGTAGGACAAGTAGTAAAGCAGCAAGATTAGATTAGATATTAGGAAAATCTTTCTAACTCTAGGGGTGGTTAAGCTCTGGAATAGGCTTCCCAGGAAGGTTGTGGAATCCCTACCATTGGAGGTTTTTAAGAAGAGGTTGGACAAACACCTGTCAGGGATGGTCTAGGTTGAGGGTCCTGCCTCAGTGCAGGGGCTTGGACTAGATGACTTCTCAAGGTCCCTTCCTGCCCTTCATTTCTATGATTCTGTGACCCTACTAGCAGCGTTTTGACTGGACTGAGGGAGGCAGCATGGCTGGCAACAAGGCCAGAGAGGGGCAGATTACAGTAGTCGAGACACAAGATGAGGAAAGCCTGAACTCGCGCCTCAGCAGTCTGGACAGGCAGGCTAGGCCGAATATTGTGTCTCACACAACACTGCTTCCCCCTGCTGTTCTGCCCCTCTGGATCCCTGCCCCATGGAGCGGAACTGAAGGGAGGAGAGCTGACGACTCAGTGCTATCGTTACCTTCAGAGAACATTCCGGGAACAAGCCAAGTTGTTCTGAATCATTTCAAATCCACCCTCCAGTCAGATGAAATTTTTATGATGGTTCAAATTCCTCTGAAGGGAGGCGAGCGGCGCGGATACGAGGGAAGGGATTATAGTGAGAGCTCAGGGTGGGTCGGATTCTCCACCCCCAACCACATTAACATTCCTTTAAAGTTCTTAGCTAGCAGGGCAGGAGCCACCCCAGGATTCCGCAGTTAATGATGCCCCGTCTGTTCACTTCTTGCCTCCAGTTCGAAGGGAGCGGAAGGAAGGAGCAGGTGGGATTGGCTCAGGAAATAAGATTTGATGCAAGAATGTGTGTTGAGTGCAGTCATTATTCTGCTGTCTCTCTCTCCTAGCACAGGGTGAGTTAGCAACATTGCAGTCTTATCCTGGGCAGCAACATGGGGGCTGGGGACCCAGAACAGTGCTAACTCACTGCAGGGCTAAAACAATGTTTAAAGCCTGCCTGTCTGCCTCTTTGAGATGTGTGCAGCAATCTCCTCACAGAAGCAGGTTCACACGCAGCCAAATCAAGAGCCAGCTTTTCTATTTCTCTTAGGATCGCGGCCTGAAAGGGGAATGCATGGCTCATATGAGCGGGAGCCTTTCACCTCTGGGGACTGGCTCCAATCTGGCAGTTTGACACTGACTGAAGCCGACTGTCATCTAGCAGCTGTTCACAGTGGCCTTCATGAAACGACTTTGGAGAGCATAGCCCAGCTCCTAGTGCACAGGTGGCTGCATCACAAAACCCACCACCAATTAGCACTAATTGGAAGTCATTTTATCATACTCAGGAGAGAAGACTGAATGGACCATAAGGCTGAAGGCCCCCCTCACCTCAGAGATGGTCACGCAGGCACTCGGATATGACCACCACTGGCCAACACCCATTTTAGCAGATGCAGCAGAGGGGACAAAGACTGAATGGGCCATGGAGACTGAATTACCCCAGAGCCTGTCCCTACAGAACAGGGGAAGGGCACACCAACATGGCAGCCTGGGGGAAGCTGACATGGCCTTTCCCTCTACCAACCTCATGGTGTGGGTACAGAGAGTTTTTCACTCCCCGGGGCTGCCAGGCTGATACCAAATTCACTTTAAAAGAAGAGAGAACGTTTGAAGTCTCCTATTCCCATGAGGCCCATGTGTGCTTAGAAGAACAGTAAGGGGGAGAGGTGGGGAGAAATCTTGAGTCATTAGGAAAAAAATGAAACGGCAAATGAAATTGCAATGTATAAATCAGCCTTGCAAAATTGTCCAGCCTGGGCACCAAAATCTGCTCAGCTGCCCTTTACTTTGATTGATAATCATGGAAAATCCAGTGACACTTTACCTGCCTGACAAAACATTACTCAGCTCTGGTGAGTGGGTGACTAGAATGTTGCCAAGCTGGTATAAGATCTGCCTGCATGCGGACAGACATCTCCAGTGATAACAGCATCTCCCCTCTTGCTTAGCTTTGGCCTTCATCTTATGCCTAAGAATCCAGGAGACGAATACTTGAAAACACACAATTGTCCTTATTAATTCACGCGAAGAGTTAAGGCAGCCATGAAATATACAGGGCTAAATGGGAGAGGGCATTTGGGTTAGTATTTTGTCAATACCAGTTTTCGAATTGTATCCTTATAATGGTTTTGCACTGATCAAGCCGGTCTCATCACACATAATAGAAACCATTCCGGTGGGTATCCTATTTATGGAGATTCTTAGAGTATGCTAAGCGAGCCTCCCAGCCCAGGCCTACAAACTTGGGTTATTATGGGCACTCCAAAAATAGCTGTATAGACAGCGCTTTGAAGATGCACTTCAGGTTGGAGCTTGGGCTCTGAAGCCTATCTCCTTCCCCTGGTTTCATTGCCTTTCATTAGGTCATATGGCCCGGTCTCATTTTACTGGTTGGAAACGGGAAGCATGAAATGAGGCTGGCTGTGTCTCCTAGTAACGACTGGAGAATGTTGTTAATGTGTGAGCTGTAGGCTGGCTACCAAGCTATAGCGAGAGATCTATGGATGTGTTTCTGGCTCTGGAGTTATATTACTGACTCCTTACATTTCATCCCCACCCTAGCGAGTGACTGGCTGCATCCTCTCCAATGTGAACACACCTTCCATGACCCCAGTGATTGGACAGCCCCAGAATGAGTCTCCACAGCCCATTTACCAGAACAGCAACATTTCCAACAAGCCCACAGCAGGTAGGTCTCAGCAGAGAGAAGGTCTCCAAATGGAGCAGAGGTAACCCCTGCAGACAGCACCAATCTGAAATCCCCAGACTTGTTCTCCCAGAAATGGGCAACGAAAACAGACCTGTCCAAGAAACAATAAATGAAGGTTTCAGATAAGACTGTGTGGGGTTCCAAAATTTATAATTTGAGTGAATTGAGATTCCAGACCCATGCAATTCAGCAATATTTGGGTTCAGGGTTGGAAAATGCAACCTACCTGTCACTGGGTCCTTTTACTATCTTCTCTCTCCCTTCCCCACTCCTTATTGACTGGGATCCATCGGCAGAGTCCACTTGAATGTCCACACAATTGGCACCAGGAGCAACATGGGAAAAAGACTAAACGGGCCATGGAGACTGAGCCACGCTCCACAGCTAAAAGTGGTCTCTTCAGGTTCAAGTTCAGGTGCATAGGGAGAGTATTGGGAGGAAGTTCACACTGACAGTGTCTATGTTCTACCTGTTCTGTGAATGAATAGAGGACTTCCCTTTCGAAGGGCTGTCACTCTGGCACTAAATCTACATGAAAAAGGTACACCTCTACCCCGATATAACGCGGCCCGATAAAACATGAATTCGGATATAACGCGGTAAAGCAGCGCTCCGGGGGGGCGGGGCTGCGCACTCCGGCAGATCAAAGCAAATTCGATATAATGCGGTTTCACCTATAACGCAGTAAGATTTTTTGGCTCCCCGAGGACAGCGTTATATCGGGGTAGAGTTGTATCTTAAAATTGCCCCAAAACCACGCTTGATCCTTAAACGTGGTAGAAGTGCAATTTCATGCCTATTTTTTACATGTAAGTACTGCATGTCACACTTAAATCCAATGATTAACCACTCAGGGGGCTGCCTGAGGACATTTTAAATATGCTGTTACCTGTTTTGTATTTGCAATCATGGTCATTCCAGGTGCAGATTAGGCACAATCCTGAGTGCATGGTGCACCCACAACTGCACACCTAGCTTCATTAAAAATCCAAACAGGGTGAAATTAAAGTTTTAAGAGGGGGCTGAAATCATGAAACAATGATCATCTCTGTAGATTGGGGCTTTAGTAACCAAACCAGTAAGGGGCCATTTGCACCAAGTTGTTGATCAAATCCTTAGCAGAAAATATTGGTTTCTTTCCAAATCTTGGTGCGGGGGGAAGAAGCTCTTCAGGATGACGAACGTCTACATGAAATAACTTCAATCCAGCAACAAGGCTCTAAACGAGTCATTCAAACAGACGGAAGTGGATACAAACCGTACAGAAGGTGGAGATGAGAGCTTATTGATTTAAGAACCCAGCCAGCAGAGATGGCCAGCGGGGATTCCCCCACGCCCTCAGAGTCAAATGCCCTGTGTGTTCCGAGAGCTCTGTAGGGGAATAACAGACAGGCCTTGTGCAGTGAGATGTGGTTCTTGCAGGTGGCTCAGACTCTGAACCTGCCTTTTACCTATTCTCTCTCCCTCCAGCAAAGATCTTGGGGAAGATGGGAGAAAGCCTGAGCCGGATTTGCTGTGTCCGTCCGCCAATAGAGCGCTTCACTTTTGTGGGTACGTTATGAAAATGTAGATGCTTGCATTCATCTATGGTCCTCCCCACTCCATGGTCTTCCTCCTCCTTTCTGCCTCCCATCCAACCCAGTGCTGTGGTATCACTCGCAGCCAGATCCTCAGTGGGTGCAAATCAATGTAGATCCATTGACAACAGTGGTGCTATATCCATTTATACCAGCTGATGACCAGGCCCCGACTCTCTCCCTGACAGCATCTCCCTGGTTGTCACAGAGATTGTCAGGGGTTATGCCAAAATTCATTGCAGGTAGGCACTCAGATCCCACCCAGGATTTCCCTGGATTGCTCAGCAGGAAGAAGCATTAGCTTAACTAGGGAAATCTGCCCCGCTGAGCCCGGCTATACTAGGGGAAGAGGCACAGCAACTCCTTGAGTTTGCAATGCCTGGATGTAGACAGACACCACCAAGGGTGAAAGAACCCCCGGAAGTATTAACCCCAACCACTAACAGGAAATCTACGCAGTCTCTCTCACCATTGATTGTAAGGCTGGATGATCCCTTTATGATCACCTGGCCTGACCTCTTGCACCATGCGGGCCCTAGAACCTCAACCAGCCATTCCCCCGTTGAGCGGGAGCAGATCTTTTAGAAAGACGCCCAATCTCCTTCAAAAGACTGAGTGACGGGGAATCCACCACCAGGTGCTAGTATACAGGTATGCGCTGGTAGAGCAGGAATCCTGTTAACACTAAGAGCCACTGCTGAACAGTTAAAGAGCCGTCTCCCCTCCTGGGCACACTCTGGCATGGACGCTCATTTGAAGCTTGGACTCTGGCACTTCTCTTTCTCCAGATGAGAATGCAAATTTGGGGACCGTGATGAGATACGAGGAGATTGGTGAGTACGCGCCGTTCTGCCCTCGGGAAGGCAGGGCCCTGCAAAGCGCAGCTCTCTGCCCCCAGGCTGACGCAGTGGGTGACATGGGAGGGGCCACGCAGGGAATGGGGATGAACAGTCTGTTCTAGCAACCGAGCACAACACAGACACCAAATTAGGGGACTGGGTCATCACTCCCATTGAACACCAGGCATCTGGATTTGGGCTGGCCCAAAAGGGTGATGAAATGGCCTGGGCTGATTCCCATCCTCACGGGGAGGGAGGACAGCATTGCTATAGGGTTAGAAAAGAGGACTGTGAGTTGGGACACCTGACTTCTCTTCCTAATTCTGATACTGACTCACTATGACCTTGGGCCTATCATTTAACAGCTCAGAGCATGGATAGCTCAGGCAGGAAATGATCACCGGAGCCTTCTCTGCACCCCTTTAAGTGTTAACCCAGCCCAGAGTTCAGAAGTTGAGGAAAGTGCTGACTTACGCTCAGCTATAGGTGGCTAAGACAGGGAGTGTGTGCAAGGGGGGCAGGAGGCTGCGTTAAATTGGGTGTTCCTCTATCCTTACAAATTTAAGCAATATTGCTGCTTCCCTCTGGTGGCCAAAAGTGGTGATGTAGACAGAGAAATCTGTTCGGCAACACTCAGTTCTAACACTGAACACTTGCAGTTTCTAGGCCTTTAAATGTCCTAGGTTCTGAGGGTCAATAAGTGATATTGTACACATCTCAGAGTAAAATGCCAGCAATTGTGCAGGTCAGCAAGCCACTTGGGGGAGACTGATCCAAACAGGGGAAGTTAAAGGGAAGACATGAAAGTCTATACAGGTTTGCCCTGCAGTGAGCAAGTATTGGGGCTTTCTGGCAAATACCTTAATCTGCCATGACAGTGATGAAGTGCTGGGGAGCAGTGGGACACCCCCATTAGAGACCCTGGTTTTAACCAGTTGTCCGGGTCCTTGTAATATCTAACAGAGAACTAATAGAACATCTGTCATTTTAAAAGATCCTAAATCACTTCTATACACCTACATACACAGGAATCACTTCTTTCCCCATGAGATACTTTACACGGCACATGCACATGTGTTGAAATGCAGCCATCTCTGGGGCGGAATGCAGCAGCTGTTTAACCGCCCACAGCAATGCTGCACAGCAGTGTAGGAGAGGAAATGAAATGCTGTTTGAAACTAGAGAGGTATTTAGGGTAGGCAGATGGCTTGGCCAGGGTACTGCACTGCAGCTAACATCACTGTTATTGCAGAAAGTGCAATAGGACCTTGAATAGCCACAAAGCATCAGGCCCTGGTTTTTGTGTCTTACAGAAAGAGTCTCTCCAGCAACACAGTGCAGGGATTGTTGGTTCAGTAGTGTCACAGGGGGAAGCCATAAGCCCATGTCTCTCAACTTCTCCATTCTCTGCTCCCTTTCTTCAGAGCTTCGTATCTTATTGCTTTGTGGCAGTGACCTGCTGGAGTCCTTCTGTATCCCAGGCCTCTGGAATGAGTCTGACGTGAGTAGCTGGCTAACACTGCATACAATCCATTGTGCGCTGTTTCCTTCCCTCCCCTCTCATTTTTCTCGCCTCTTTGCTCTCTCCCACGGTGACCTTACATGTGGCATAACATTCCATAACATGTCAACTCACATGGGAAACCTTGAACAGTCTGCCTCTATCCCTCATTCCATCCTGCCCCACCCCTTCCATTTACACCCTCAGCCGAGCGAGCCAGAGAGGTATCCTGCTTCTGACTCTCAGAACCCACTCGGCTTTTATTTCAAATTGGAGCCAGAAACTTTCCCTTTCACATCATGTTTTTCTCCCCACCCACAGGGAGATGAGTGGCAGAGACAGCTGGGGACTGCAGCTACTTATGTCTAATTCTGAGGGTGTAAGGAAAATTTTAAAGGCCATCTCCCAAACTCATTTTCTTTTATAAACAGATGCTGTTAAATAGATTTAGGCCCTAAATTTAGAATATGGGGAGGGGGATATAGGGATATACAAGATCCAATTTTCATGACACTATAGGGAAAAGAAATTTAAATAAACCAAGCAAAACAGTGTTCGTGTAGTCAGGGGCGGCTCTATGTATTTTGCCGCCCCAAGCATGGCAGTCAGGTGGCTTTCGGCGGCATGACTGCGGGAGGTCCGCCGGTCCCGCGGCTTCGGCGTACCCGCTGCCGAATTGCCGCCGAAGCCACGGGACCGGCGGACCTCCCGCAGGCATGCCACCAAAGGCTCCCTGACTGCCGCCCCCACAGCGACCGGCAGGCCGCCCCCTGCGGCTTGCCGCCCCAGGCACATGCTTGGTGCGCTGGTGCCTGGAGCCGCCCCTGCGTGTAGTATAAATTTACCACTAATAATAATAATTCTAGCCTAGCTCTTATATAGCACTACAGTTTTAGGAACCCAAACACATCATGCCTTGTGCTAGGGCATGAGAACCAGGAAGTGAAACGGACCAGTCCCATTTCACTGCCCAAACTGAACGAAATGAGACATTACAGCATCCATGATGAAAAGCAAATTAAATTGTTGAAATTATTTCTTGTAATCTGTGTTGCCTTAAATGCATTTTACCATCTTTAAAGTTTTTTTACCTTAGCAGATTATTTTGTCTTTAAAGCTGAGTACTGTATTGCCAGCCCCAAATATTCCTAATCACGACTCAGGCCCCCCAAAATAATAAAAATTAGTTTAAAAATCTCAGGATTTAAAAAAAAAAATTGGGGGGGGGGTTGGGTTTTGTCTGCGGGCATCTGGCATGTTTAGTGCCCACTTGGGTCACATTTTCAGACATTTTCTGTGCAACCACGAGGGCTAGATGCTGACTTTTTAAATTATGAACACAGAGATTCTCACAGTCATCTGACTCCAGGGGATGGTGCTTTAAGTAAAAACATCAAATACCACAAGACTCATGCTAAAATAACAAGAGTCCACAACACTACATGTGGAGAAAAGACCATTTGATATGCTTTTCTAATACACCCATCAATATAGGGGCTCTGGTACTTACCAATAAAAGTAAGAATGTGGCTTGGTCATCAGAACCCAGTTTATCATCATACTGACCCCATTCACCACCTAAGATTCCTCGTAATTTGAGTGACAGATAGCAACAAACATAGTTTAAAGCCACTACATTAATACTCTTGCTAGCTAGAAATATCACCTCCAGCAAACCTGTCTATGTTCATGGATTCCGAGACCAGACGCGACCATTGTGATAATATAATCCCATGGTTTTCAACCTTTTTTCATTTGCAGACCCCTAAAAAATTTCACATGGAGGTGCGGCTCCCTTTGGAAATCTTAGACATGGTCTGCGGACCCCCAGGGGTCCGTGGACCAGAGGTTGAAAACCACTGTTCTATAGTAATGACAACCTTTTGCAGACTTCTTAGACATGGTCTGCAGAGCCCCAGAGGTCTGCGGACCACAGGTTGAAAACCACTAATCTAGTCTGACCTCCTGTATAAAACAGCCATGGAACTTCCCCCAGATAATTACAGATAACATTGTCATGACAACAGAATTCTGTTTTAAGGACCAAGGACCAAGTCCAGCAAAGCCTGTAAGCATGTGAATAATCTGTTCCCTGATTGCGTAAGTGTAACTTTTAGAGTGAGGTTTTCAGGTGTACCTGGAATTAGTTCAAAATTTGCTTTCCATGATTATTCTGTATTAAATCACATATAATTTGCTGTTTCCTTGAACATTTCCCCCAGTGAATTCATGCACTAGAATATCTGCAAAAGGGAACACAAAACAAATGCAAACATAACAGCTATAAATGCATTTTTGGGAGAGAACATGCTAGGAAATTGGATTTGGGGAGAATATTTGCCCAAGCTTTGCCCATCAGTCCAGATGATCTCTTCCGTCAGAGCCAGAAAATACTGAACTACCTAAATCAGACACATGCATAAAAGCAACAGCTCCATCTTGCAAGGACATAGCTAGTTCTGCTGATGTTCTAATGCCAAAGTAGGTCAGACAGGTCTTAAATGACATGCCCACAAGCAGTTACATTCTGTCTCTACTGACCTGAGTGGAGCTCAGGAAGGGGTGAGATTTCCTTCCTACCTTTGAAAGCAGCAGACATGTTTTCCAATGAAATCCTTCGTTTGGTGCTTTAGGAGACAGAAGGATATGTGGTCCTACCCGAGTAATTTAAAACCGACACAGACAACACAGATCAGACATGCTGGGAAATATAGAGGGAGGTTCAAGTGTTGCTCTTTTCCTTGGTATTGAGTGGGCAACAGTGTTATTGAATTGGACGATTGTTAGCTGGCTTTGTGGGAGAGGAGAGTTCTAAGTGGGCGTTTGAATCAAGGAAAGGAAAGTCCTTCCTGAACAGTGACACAGAGGGTGTTCCAGGCCTAAGGGGCTGTGTGAAAGGAAGATGAGAGGTGTGGTGTGGTTCACAATGTGGCACAGTCCTTGAAGACTGAATGAGGAACTTAGACTTGGTGAAGAAGGCTACAGGAAGTTTGTGCAAGGACTTGGCGGATGGCAACATGGTCAGAACAGTGGACATGGGGGAAGATAATTGTGGGGTATATCTACACTGCAATGTAAGCCCAGGGTTCGAGTTCAGGCTTAACCCTTCCATCTGCACACAAAATGCACTAAACCATGGCTCAGGTCCAAGGACCCCATGGGGGTGGAGGGGCCGAGCTTGAATCAGGCTGGGACCCAGAGTTCAAGCCCGATTGCTTTGCAGTGTAGACACAACCCCGTTGAACTTGTGCTCTGGGAGTCTGCCAAAAGTATCCCATAATCCCATGGGCTGACTTTCTTGGTCCTCTGAACAGTCAAGTTTGGTGGACAGTCAAGTTTTCCCCACACTGCACCATGAACAAAGGGCTAGAGCAGCCACATTTTGGGAGGGCGCTAGGAAGTCTGGGATAGGGGTGGTTGGACTTGCTGCAGCCTCAGTTTGGGACCCAGGTTTCAACAATTCCTAACCTGGGGTTACAAATGAGCAAAGACACTCAAGCCCTAGGTTAACAAACCCAGGATCTGCCAACACGAGGTCTACTAACCCTGGGCTTATATTGCAGTGTATGGGGTATGTCTACATTGCAATGTAAACCCCGGGTTAGTGGGACTCAAGTCAGTGGACCCTGCATTAAAAAACTCAGGGCTTGAGCGTCTACATTGATTGTTAACCCTACATTAACCTGGGTTCAAACTAGGGCTCTGGCATCCTCACTGCAGCACGCAGACCCAAGTCAAGCCAACCATATCCCAGATTCCCTAGTGCCCTCGCACAATGTGGCCACTCTAGCCTTTGGCTGTGGTGCACTGTGGGAAAACTTGACTTTCCACCTCTCATGTGGCGGGAAGTTTGAACAGCCTGCTGAGCAGCCATTTTGGTCAGTGCGCTCCCAGCTACCGGAGCCAGCAACACAGAGGAGGCACCTTTTGAAGAACTTCTCATGTTTGCACTTGTATTCCTGTGTCAGGAAATGGGCAGAGCTTCTGTGAGACGTGGATGGACATTTCAGCAGTGTTTTCTGACCCACCAAAGACACCTGACAAAACTTGTGATGGAGCAGGAGGAGGACGACAGACATGACAGATGCAAACTGGCTGAAGCTGCTGATGGCATTCATTACAGCCGCTGGTGACTTGGGCTTCTGGAGCAGGGCCACAAGCACAGCCTGGTGGGGTCACAGCATCATGCAGACCTGGGATGACCAGCAGGGGGGCCAGAAGAAGAAACATGAAGTAAGCTACATTTCTGGTGCTTTGTGAGCAGTTTGCCGTGACACTCCTCCATAAAGGCATTCTGATCCAGAAGCAAGTTGCTATAACCGTCTGGAAGCTGGCTACCCCAGACTGCTACAGGTCCATTGCCAAGCAATTAGGTGTTGGAAAGTCGACTGTGGGAAAAGTGGTGGTGGAGGTTTCTGAGGCAGTCAGGTGTGTGGTTTACCCCAAGGTGGCAGCCATACGTGATATTGCTGAAGTAATTGCCGGCTATGAGAGAATGGGGTTTCCAAATTTTGGATGAACATCAGGGGAGAAAGCTGGAAAATGGGGAGGACCCAAGAGGGGTGGATAATCTAGATGAGGGAGGAACAAAGTCTGGACAAGAGTGGAACAAATACACCGGACCACCAGAAAATGGCTTTGGGAGTTGTCTTTGATCCAGTGCCAGATGATCTCTAAAGCCAAATTCCTCTGGCATCCCACACTGAGTACTCAAGCAAACAAACTTCTAACATGGATACAGTGAGATTAACAGAGAGACTCAATTTCAGTAACTATGTCCAGTCTAGGAAACAGCAGCCACTCCCCTCTCCTGCTCTGCAACTGGGCAAACCAGAGAGGAGACCCCGGGAAATGAATCGCTTTGTGAGCTGCTTTTCCATCCGGACGCACCTCTGGGAAATCAACTCACAGACTGAAAAATAACAAATCATTTTGTAATTTGAGGATCTAAGTTAAGGCACCTAGTCCTGCATCTCAGTGCTCAGATTGGCACTTGGGCACCCCAGTCTGATACTTTCAGCAGGTCTGAGTGCTCAGGGTCAGGATTGGGTGCCCTAATTTAGACCCGAGGTTTGACACTTGGGATCCCACGCAAAATAGGACTGGATTCTGGGGGAAAAACAGCCCAGCACCCTCTCCTTCGATTAAAGCACATGAGAGACTGAAGACAGCAGTTCACTGCAGATTCTGCTTTGCTTCCTGTAAGCAGCACCTGCTTAGGGGACTAACATTTGTATCGGGTAAAAATAATGCTGTTTAGCACGTGGCAGTTTATTTGCTCAGATATTTCCGGATATGCTCAAGAGCACTAAGTTGTGGGGAGTTGTTTGAAAGGAGAAAGTGCTTCAAACAGCTGGTCAAGATGTTGTCTCACCTTCCACTGAAGGTGCACAGCTTCCATTCACCAAAGTGGGGCAAAGCAGCGGGGTTCTGTCTGAATCCTCGCTAAGCTTGGATGACCAGGTAGCATCAGTTTCCCAAAATGCCTTCTTCCACCACTAGCTTGCTAGGCATCTTTATGCCTCCCCACCCCACCCCCCAGTGAGGGCCTGACCACAGCACTCCATGCATTTGTCACCTCCAGGCTGGGTTGCTGTAACTGAAGCTGAATGTGAAGACGATGCACAGGCATGAATGTGGCTTCACCTTCACCGTGGCTTAGGCCACAAAAAGTGAGCACATCAGGCATGTGCTCAAGTCCCTCCACTGGCTCCCAGTCAGTTTATGATGCCAATTTAAGACCCTGGTCCTAGTTTTCAAAGCAATGAATGGCTCAACCCCCAACTATCTCAAAGACTGAATTTTGATCTAGGAACCCCCGTGACAGCTGCACTCCCCCGGGCATGGGCCAATGCAGATCACAAAGCCTAGGTTGAAGCAAGTGAGAGCTGGGGACAACGCGTTCCCTTACGAGGGCATCCAGCTGTGGCACAGAGCCCCAGAGGCGATCAGGCCAGAGCCTGACCGTCTTCAGGAAATGTTGCAAAGCCGTCCTCTTGGAGGAAGCCTTTCCGCCACCACCAGTGATGCTCACAGTTCAAATACCCCGTTTATTTCCAACCCCCCGTTCCCCCCCAAAAAGCCTACCCTAAAGGAGCAGCTTAACACCAAAAAGGGAGATGTTCCAGAGACCCATTAGGGACTTGGTATTGATTTTAGGTGAGGGACTCTCATGCTACAGTGATGGGTGGCAGGATAAAATCTTAAGCCAGACAGAGACATGAAATGCTTTAAGTGGAAACAGTGGGATTCTAGGCCTGAGCTTTGGTTCAAGCAGTATCATTAAATACTCCATCAACTCACTGTACAGAACATGCTACTGGGGAGCTTTAGCAAGATCGTAACTGGAACAAAACCCAAAGGAAATGGAGCAGTGTCAGTGTCATCTTGGGAAGAAAAATCCCAGGATTGTAGGGCAAAGGGAGCAAAGATAAACTTTAAATTAGGTGGGTGGGGGCTGTTTGTATTAGATTTAGAAGGTGCCAAGTGAAGCCAGGAAACCAGCTTGAAACTCAGCAACAACGCTGCTAACTGATAAGGAGCCCAGCTGGATTTTCCTCTTTTGAGGAGTGCGGCTAAGCCTTGCAGAGGAAATTCCCTCATCACTCTCTCTTCCATTGCTGTGGTTGGACCCAGACCAGATTTTGCAGAGTGATCCATAGAGATGGGCCCAAGTCAGAACCTTTAATCTGAAACCCGACAAACCACAGTGGTTTGAATGGAATGGAACCTGGATCTGAACTGGCTTTGGATTAGGTTTTGCCAGACTGAAATCTTGCCAGCCACCACTGCCAATGTCTCCATGGGAACTGAATATGCACACGCTGGAACAGAAGGGCCAGTTCCGCATAGCCGTGAGGTTAAACTTGCCCCTTCTGCCACCTCATCGGTACTTACTGCTAGCATTTGGCAACAAGCAGCTACTTTGGAAGAGCTTTTCCATTACAGACCCCAATTCAGCAGCTCCTCCAGTGAAGTCAATGGGAGCTCTGTGTGTGGAGTGGGACCGCAGACTGAGGCCCATAGGAAGGGAACGCACTGAAAAGTCCTGTAAGAAAATACAATCAGAATACCTGCAGGTCTGTCTACGCGTCACGCATAGCGGGTGATTGTTAACTCAAGGAAACATACCCACACTAGCTCAGTTCGAGCTACCATGCTAAAACATGGCTGTGCAAGGGGCTAGCTGCCCAGGGCCGGCTCTAGGCACCAGCAAACCAAGCACGTGCTTGGGGCAGCACATTTTCAAGGGCAGCATTCTGGCCATTTTTTTTTTTGTGTGCTTCCGGCGGCAAAAGCCTAGAGCCGGCCCTGGCAGCAGCAGCACGTCGTGCGCGGGGGGCGCCCTGGGGCCGCTGCGGTTCGCACCGCAGGGGAGCAGCACCCACACCTTGTGGCTGGGCCGGGCAGGCTTCAAGCGGGGGACACTCAGGCTGGGGGACACCCCACGGGGCACATGGAGCCGCCTGCAGCTGCCGCAGGGCTGCCGCCCCCCCCACCCCCCAGCGCTGCAGCCGGGGCTGGGCGAAGTGGCCCAAGCCGCCCAGGGACTGTGGCAGGGCGGCCAGAAGCAGCAGCAGCGGGGCCATAGAGGGCGGGGCCTGCGTCCCGCTCTCCAGGGCTCCGCTGCCTCTGGGGCTACCCTGCCCCGGCTCCTCAGCCCTCTGCCGGGGCAGTCCCCCGGCTCTGCCCTCCCGGGTCCCGGCTGGTCCTGGAGGCGGGAGCCCTGGATGGAGGGACCCTGGGCTGAGGCGCGGCCCAGAAGCCCCGCTGCTTACCCCGACCCTGCCAGCGCCGGACTGGCTGGAGGCGAGGGGAGAGCGGGCAGAGTCAGCACTGGTGGGGGGAGCCCAGGGCTGGGGTGGCAGGGGGTGCAGGTGTGGGGGGGAAGAGAGAGCCCAGGGCTGGGGCAGCAGGGGGTGCAGGTGGGGGGGGGGGAGAGAGAGCCCAGGGCGGGGCGGGCAGGGGGTGCAGGAGGGGGGTGGGGAAGAGAGAACCCAGGGCTGGGGTGGGGGGCAGCCAAAAATTTTTTTGCTTGGGGCGGCAAAAAACCTAGAGCCGGCCCTGTAGCTGCCCCAAGTACATAGCTAGGTAGGATCGTGCTCAGGGTAGCTAGTGCCTCCTGCCACTCGCACCGCCCCAGCTACACTTTATTTTTAGTGCACTAGCGTAGGTGTGGGTCCTTGAGCTAGAATTTGTATCTCCAACTGGCAGTGTAGACATCCCCTGGGAAGTTGCCAATTAGCCTCCTTAATGACATTCATGTTTCTGGCAAAGACTTTCCAGGAAGTTTGCAGAAAGAGTGTAAGTTAAGACTTAGTTCCTTCAACACATCACAGAATATTTCAGCGCATCTTTCGTTTGAGTCAGGGACCTGTGAGCTGGTTCCTGGGCCAGCATCGCCCTGGCGCAGGAGGCTTAGAAGGTTCTGAAACGTCCCTCTTTGCATTGCTCCCAGATGGAGGTGATTGTCGGGGACTTTGGGATCGTGGTGGTGCCCCGGGACGGCACAGACACAGACCGGATTATGAACCATTCCTCAATACTCCGCAAGTACAAAGTAAGTAACTTTGCACAACACAGACATTCCCTGCATCATGGCTGGGACTGGGTCCGCTTGGCCTGGCTCTGCCTTCCGCCCCCAGTTTCTTACTGTGCCATGATGCCATTGCGGGGCAGCCAATGGGCAGGGTGAGCTGGCTGTGCAGTGGCAGCTATGAAGCTTTACCGCTGCACCACTTCCATAAAGCAGCACCAATACCTGCAAAGCTCCCAGCCTCTGCATTCAGGGAGACATTCATCCCTGTGCACAGGACTAGTGTGAGGCCTGTGTGTCACTTACATCTTCGGCACTCATAGGCCTTGTTCCAGACCTCAGTGACTGGGATGGAGAACCCAGAAGCCCTCTCACCATCCCCAAGGAAGTGCCCAGCTGCCCATGTCACCTCTGGGCACTAGTGTCCTCACGGCCAGAGAGCCCCGACATGCTGGGTGCACAAGCCATGAGGAGCAAAGGGCTGAGGTCAGTCATGTTCATTTGTTCTTCTCGTTTTCACCACAGAACAACATCCTGGTTGTGAAGGACGACGTGAACCACCCAATGTCCGTCGTCAGTTCAACTAAAAGCAGGTGCGTGACTCGAAGAGCCTCCTGCTGCAGGGTACAGAGACCCGACCCGCCCTCAATTCCCACTGCAGGGCATCTCATCTCCCACCCAGCGGACCCAAGAATTTCCCACAATCCACCACAAACATTTCCCCATCTATCTAGGTACTTACATGGCCCCATCTCCATAGTATCTGAGCACCTCATAATCATGGCTCCACCATGTGAGGGAGGGAAGTGGTCTGATCCCCTGGTTACAGACGGGGTACTGAGGTACGGAGCGATTAAGTGACAGGAGGTCAGTGACGGAACAGGGAATTGAACCCATGTCTCTTGAATCCAGTGCCTTAACCACTGAGCCGTCCTCCCTCGGCAGCCTTGTCCCATCCACTTGAATTGATCACACACACGTTCAGACCAATGGCTCCTTTGGCTAAAATGTTACCATATGCATACGTGTGAGAGACAGTGACCCTCGTAAATGCACCTTCCCTGTGGAGCTGTGACCAGCTCCTCCATGGACTGAGCTCACATGAAGCCTGATTTGAACCCTATCCAAACAGCTGCTTCCTGTTGGGGAAGAGAAAACAGGCTGGGGCAACGTGGGGCGGGTAACTGGCAAGCACTGACTACCTCTGTTCTCTTGCCCCCCCAGACTGGCCCTGCAGCATGGGGATGGACACGTTGTGGATTACCTGTCTCAGCCCGTCATTGACTACATCCTCAAGAGCCAGCTGTACATCAACGCCTCTGGTTAAAGCCTGAGGCGCTGCAGCAAGGCAGCCCCACCGCTCCACTTCCCTCCAGCTCTCCATCACACTTCTCGCTCTCTGTGTGTCTGTCTCTCTCTCTCAGCCTCCGGCACGTCCGCCTGTCTCACTCACTGACTCTAGCGCTCCATAGTGCAGGAATCTCCAGGGAGCTGTGGCAAACCCCCAATGGTACACAGCTCAGCAATCTGCTTCGGAGAACCCTTCCCCTTCATACACCGGGGGGCAGGGGGTACGGTAAATAGAGATGTACTCAGCATGTTTTAGGGAGGTGGCTCTGGTGTCCACCTTCCCAGCATGCCCTAGGGAAGTGGCCCTGGTGTCCACCTTCCCAGCATGCTCCAGGAACAGGGGCTCGGTCTTTTCCCATCTTACGGCACTTAAGCTAAATAAAACACGGTGGATCTTTTTATTAATAGTTTTAGTGTGAGCCCCTTGGCCTCGCAACATGGGAGATCCTAACCCACTTGGCTCAATGCCCAGACTTGGGCTAGGCTGAGAGCGCTGCTCAGGCCACTTATGGGACAGTTTAGCTTTGAAGTAAAAAAGAAACTGAAAATTCTGAAATGGTTTTCTGGAGCTAAGGCTCCCAGGGCGGAGGGCGGGGGCGGCAGGGGGAAGCACACCTCAGCCTGGCAGCAATTGCTTCTGCTGTAGATAATTATTCATTTGGAGGGGCCTCCTTTAATCTTCACTTGACATGAACCTGGTCACTCCAGGATGTCCCTTAAGTGGTCATGCTGTGTTTGAGTCACAGATGGCGGGTACCTGACACAGATCCTAGAAAGGAACCTGTCATACCAGACTAGATCACGGGAACTCAAAAGCGAACGGCAGCTGAAGGCCACTGGTCGTGCTTCTCTCAAGCCCAACCATTAGGTTTTGTAGCGTCACAACATGGCAGCATCTGTCCGTGGGTTGCTGACAGGGGGAGAGGCTCTGTAACCTGATATTTACCAAAAGTCAATAAGCGTCTTTCTGATCAACAGGCAGCATATCCTGCTGTGCAGGGAGACACGGAGGTCTCAGTGGGGGTTACAATGATATGTCAAAAGGGGCTGATGAATTCATTAGCAGGGAGGGGGCTGCCATCATAGCTAACCCCTGAGCAAACTTGCCTTACGCAGATGCAGATGGGTAGAGCATAGCTCTCAGGGATCTCGTTTGATCTATAGGCACAAGCTGCTCCCTTCATACCCAACCCCTGGGATCTACTTGCTGGCACCTCCCTGGTTAGTATGGTCTCCACTCCTGCCTGCCTCCCTTCCCTCTCCCCCTCCCAGTCTGTGGGGTTCAGGCTGCCCGTGAGGAGTCTGTTAAACGCAGGCTATTCACCCTGCGAGCTCTGCAACTTGCACCATCCCCCCTCTCCTGCATGCCTCTTCCAGGACAAACCACTCTTGTGCTTTGCTGTCCAGGGCTGCGGTTGTAGCACATTGGGCCAAATGCCAGCAAGGGGAACAGATGCAAGGGGGACCTACACTGGCCAAGAAATGCTGAGATGGGTTGGAAAGAGCAGGGATGTTTAAGAGGCACAAAGGCCTCATACTGGCCCCGGCAAGCAGGCTGCAGTGCTGGGTACCGCTGACTTGCAGAGGGCTCCCAGCCCTGTGACAGTGCATGCGCTGGAGTCATTGCATCGTTAGAGAGGAAGGCAAAGCCCAGCTTTAGGTTTTGTCCTTCTGCTTTTCCAATTAGCCCTTTTATTTGGAGTTTAGCTGCTTGTGTTTAGTTCTCAGACACCTGCCATTACTTCCCTGTTATGCTTGTGCTAACCTGGCTGTTTCAACCCGATTGCATTCCTGTAAGAAGGCACTGTAGCTATTCTGCGCTGGGTTCTCTGCATTCCCTAGGTGCCATGAAAAGCAGGAGGGCACTAGAATCCCACCAAGGGAATTTGCTGCTTGTGCCCCTCGGAGGGCTGCGATCCCCCGCCCCCAGGGAGAGGGAGCATTTCAGGAAAGGACCTTAAAGCAAAAGCCCTTAAAGGGTTGCAATGAAGCACAACCTGCTCCAGTGAAAGCTTCAAAGAGAAGACGCTGCACTAGATTTGGTGACCCGGTGCTCCACACGGCCACCTTGCTTGCTGTGAACTCACTATGGCCTGTTACCAAGAGAAGCCAGAGTCCAGGAAGGCGTCTCTGTCATGGCAAACCGCTGTTGTCAGCCCTTCAGCCAGAAAAACATATGTAGCATTTGTAAACTCACTGCAGTTTATCGCGCTTTATAAGAAGTCAATGATCAGTCCTCAGAGGTAGGTATTGTCACCCCCATTTCACAGAGGGAAAGTCAGAAGTCCAGAGGTTAAGTGATTTGTCCAAGGCCCAGAAAAAAATCAGTGTCAGAGCAGGGATTAGAACCCAGGAATCCCTAGGCCCTTGCTCAGACCACTAGCCCGTTCCTGTCCTCTTGGAAAGGCAACAGGATTGTCAGTGGTACCACCAGCAAGCTTTCCCTTCCCAGGCTCTACCCCCCACCTGAAAACGTTAGTTCAGGAATTGTCACTGTTGCACTGAAATTTTCCATGACAAGCAGAAGGATAGGAAAGGGTGTGGGGAGATTGGACTGGCTTTGCCAGACTCTGGTTTCTCTGCTCTTCCTGCCGGTCATGGCACCAACGTGTATGTCCAGGTGGGGGAAAATATGGACTCCAAGAGGGCACCAAGCCGACTCAGAATCCATGAAGGCTGATGGGAGCAGGAAGGAAACGTGTACAGTCGCCTGTTCTTCAGGGACATCTCCATCTGGAGTTCCTGCTGCTAGCACCCACTGCTCTACATACTCGCATGGGGGAACCTGGAACGAGCAGCCTTCCTGGAGACCCCTGCTCACACACACAGCAGGTGGATATAAGGGGCACGGTCATTTTGTGGGGGAGGGAGGGGAAGAGTTCTCTATCTATACAACGTCAGTAGCTAAGCTCTTCTAGACAAACTGATCTTACTACCCTGTGTGGGTGAAGCTTTTCATGAGCTGTCTCACACACAAGCTATTTCAGAGAATAGCAACGGCTCCTTGCCAGGGCCTACTGTACTTCTCCACTCCAAGCTGGAGGAGATAAAGCAATCGATGTCTAGAATGAGCCACCAAGACACAATAAGGGAATAAACTCAGAGAGAAGAGGCTTGCCCCTGAAGTGGGAGGTAGGACAATTGCTCTTAACTGAGGGAAGATGGAGAAAGGAAATAAAAAGGAATTAAGACAGTGTTTATAAGAGTCAAAAAGCTCTCGATCCCCCGCTCCTTCAGGTGATCAAAGGGTGAGATAGGAAGCAGGCCAGTTTTCGATCTCATCCAGTTTAGGACGGCATGCCTTAGAAACATAGCATTGTGGTATGGATGATGAATATACTATGTCTTACTAGTCTTATCTATGCCTTCATTTATCTGCTCAGTAAAACTCATGGTACGGGGGGGATGGGGGTGTAGCATATCTTTGGAGTGGACTATTGAACTGTTGGGATCGGTTTGGATTTGATCCTTGGGTTGGCGCAAGCAATCTCGCCTCCATCTCTAACCCATACAACAAGGGTTGGCAAGGAAAGGGGTTTTTTCAGTGTAGGGGGGGGGGGGGAAAGAGGGTGGGATGGTCCTTGAACCCGCAATTTTAATAACACAGTTTTGCTTTACTGAAATGAATAAAAAAAAGTTTTAAAAGAAAAAAAAACTCAATGGGTTGAAGTTGCCATGTTGCCAACTGCATCTTTGTGAAAGAATTTGGAGTTGGATTTCTGTTGCTAAAAGTGGTCGACAAAAAAAAAAAAATACGAAACAAAAAACCCCCCACCTCTTTATCAGCAAAGTGTTTAAATTATGTAATAAAAAATGATGCTATTAGACTGTAGTGTTTCACTGCTGCTTCAGCTAGGGAAATGTCCCGCTCCTCTTTGTGACAGCTGGATGGCTGTCTTCGAGAATAAGGAAAATACTTTGCACTTATTTTATAGCCACTTTCATCAGGGAGGCAGAGTGGTCTAATGCTGCAATTTGGAAATGGAGATCCTTGGCCTTTGGATCACACATGTTCTGTAGGAAGCTGGCAGGTCACATGGTGTTGGCTCTGCCTCCATTGCAAAGAAGAGCCTGGAGGCCTGTAAAAGCAGCTTCAAACAAGGAAGAAAGGCCAGACCAGCAGCTGCTGCTACATAAGGCAGAGGAGGAGAAGATGGCCTCAGCCAGAGCCATCAGAAGAGAAACTTAATGCTCCTCTATTACTACTTTTCCTCAAAAGGAAAGGCCAAAGCTGCTGGGGGACACTGTACGATCATGAATGGGAGGGAAGGTCTCCATGGGACACTTTTCCTATTAAAGCCTGGTTCCCCCCCATGAAAGTCTGAGAACCTAGAGGGTAGAGAAGAGAACAGAGTCAGGACTCCAGGGTTCTATTCCCCTGGGAAGGTCACTTAACCACTCCATTCCTCACTTTCCCCAACTGTGAAACAAGGATAATGGTCATTACCAATCACTGTACAGCACTCTGAGAAGACCCACACTAGAAAGTATCATCAGCCTTCTCTAGCCACTAACCCACGCTGCTGCCTCCTTTCCCCAACAGTCAGTTCACCTCTTCTGGACACAGAAAAACCTATCTCCAGAAGGAGAGCGGGAAGAAAAAAAGAAACAGCAACATCCAGCCACAAGGATTTGTTTTTTATTGACTTTTTTTTTTCTTCAATTAAAAAGTGCACTTAAGCAAAAAAACAAAACAAAAAAAGTCAGATCCATAACATCTGTCCTGTCCTGTGCAGTGGGAGAAATTGCAGAACAAGCCAGAGGTTAGTGTGTTTCACTATAAATAGAAATATACCATAGATGATTATTTAACATATAATATTCAAACAAGGAGGTGGCACTTTATCAGAGAAGCTGAGCAACTGAAGGGTGAGTTTAACCCCAGAAAGTGACCACCTCCTCTGGGGCACAGTTGAGATTGCTGATCCTGCCACACTATGTGGGGCACAAGAGAGGTAACAAGGATCCAGCAGAGCCGTCCTCCAGTGGCCAGAAGGGCCAGGGAACTGTCTCCACTGAGACAGAGGAACAAAATGAAATTGGACCCACAGGAAACCCACCTGTGGTAGAGATTTGCCTCCAGTTCCTCCAGTTTTAGAGAATGATTGATTAAGAATCAGTCACAATTCCTCTGACGCAAGGCTGCTCTATGTAAAACATTGAACATTGTCTGTTGGGAGGCAGCACCAAACTTCTTCCAAACTGGAGGTGGAGACAC